TGGAAAAGTTTCCAGCTGTGAAACTGGAAAAATAAGCTTTGAATTGCAGCTAATCTCAAAAATCAAAGTAAGAACCATTGTTATTTTAGGAGACGTTCCAGAAAGCTGGCTATTATAAGCATCAGTGGAATGCTAAAACAGTTATTGTAGCGCCCAACACAAATCTGTACTATCGCTTCAATCCAGCAATCAACGATTTCGTTGATAAAAAAGATCCAGCCGGACAATTTGCTTTTTTGATTGATGTTCTTGAAAACGCACAGGCAACCAACAAAACTGTTAATGTCATAGCGCATATTGCTCCTGGAGGCAAGTTTTTGCTGATATTTTTCTTGACAAATTTCTTACAAATCCAAATAAAATTATTTTGTCAAATCCAAATAAAATTATTTTGTCAATATTTCTATTTTGTATTTTAAAGTTTCAGTATTCCTTTCCCTATTTTCCAACTTCTTTTTATCCCAATATTTTTTTCTATGTTCCAGTACTTCTGTTCTGTAATTTAAAATTGTGTCTGCCATAGGGTATTATTCCACCAGTGTCATTAACCATCATGAACAAAGTTCTCTTACAAAAAACTGTTAGGCCAGAAGAAAATCGAACCACTCGTCTTCACACTCGAGCGCTGCGTGCTAACCACTACACCGCAAGGTTTCGTGCCGTATGAGCAGCCTCGGATTGCTTCTACTGTATATCTGCTTTTTTTGGAACATAAACCCTTCCTCTTCTTACCTGCTTTTGAGGAGGGCAGTATGTATTATTTTATAGCCTCTTCTGCTCCTTTTTCGCCGGTTTTCCGCAGATAGGATACTTAGTTCCGATTGCCCAAACAGTGTTAGATTTTTTGGTGTTTCAAATATCAGTATGACAGTAACTCTCTGGACAATGTCTTGATAGTCTTACTCACTGTATATTTCTTTTTGGACTTGATTTTAAAAATGTCCTCAATCAGACATATAGGGGATATGACTTTAGTATTCGAACGAACGCCTGGCTTTACATGGATGGTACCGGAATACAATCAGCGTTTTATTGATATCACCGTAAAATATGCCCGCACAATCGGCTGGATGATTTTTGGACATCATCATACTGACACTTTTCACATTATTAAGGCAAGTAAGCAGCTGCTTATTAGTCTGATACTGTGATAAACATAGCGACTCTTACTGCGTCTCCTTTGAAAATCTGCACTTTTTATGCGTTTTTGCATATGAATGCAAATGCAAAAAAACATTTTTTGGCGACAAATCGAGTGTGTTTGTATGTGTCTGCACAGGTATTACAACTCGGCAGCAATTAAGCTCAGATGTTGAAATTTTACATCAAAGATAAAAGCAAGAATTGCTTTTTTGGAAGAATGGGGGATAACACATGGATGGAGTGGATAGATGAATTATTGTTATTTGTTTCGTTTTCTTGAATTGTTGCCAAAATGACCAGCCCCAGTAGATTCAAATGAATAAGACAAATACACAGGAGATAAGTTGTTGGTTTTTATTTTACTGTAAATCAGCAAATGCAAACTTCTTCAGGATAAACGAGGAAATGCAGCCGTACAAGTCTATTTACTTGCGCCATCTGTAACGCCTTGGTTTAGCAGTTTACCTGGAGCTGGCTCCGTCAATCCATCGTTTCGCGTTTACGACCTGGATGAAAGCACTGGCCAGCTCGTTGATGCTACGTAACATTTTCGTCCCAGAAACTTTTTCCAGTTTTTTTGTTTTAAATCTAACTCCTAGTTTCTTCATATGTACAATTTTTCTTAAATTGGGCAGGCGATGTTGCTCACCTTGGTGACAATCGGTGAATATCGTAAATTAGTAAGTAGTATCTGTGAAAAAATGTTCTAACAGTCGGCTACCCTTTCAGAGAGGTCTAATTTACACCTAACGAGCGGGAATTGCTAACCAGAGGTAAGCAGCTTCAGAGTGAAGGTTCTAATAAAGTTACGCTCGGCGTGGGAGAACGTTCTAGTAACAT